TCTCTCTCTCTCTCTCTCTCTCTCTCTCTCTCTCTCTCTCTCTCTCTCTCTCTCTCTCTCTCTCTCTCCCCGTTTTGAGCACCCACACGCTTCCTGTGTAACACCCGATGAGAAAGGATGAAATGGGATGATGCAGGCTCTCGACCGTATAAACCCTGAGGTCCAAGAAATATTGGTTGCACAGCAGCATACACCCTTTGAGACGGCTAAGCCCGTACAGAACCGATCCGTTGAAGCTGAACTTTTTCCCTGCAATTACCAAGCAGAGAACGCGCTGACGCCGCACTGCGCGCGTCCACGTGGCACACACCACCAACGAGATTGACGCTGTCAACAACAAGGCAAGCGGAACATACAACATCGGGAACTGCGCCTCGCTCCACTACTCTCCGCTAGATGTGCAAAATGGAAATGAATTCTCCGCTAGAATATGGACAGATACCCCCCGCCATATTTAGTTTTTGTCTTTTGTGCACGTGGAGAGCAGTGGAGCCAGGTCCATTGTAACCGGCCTTGCGGGTTTATGCGTCAATTTCGCACAGAATTCCAATCCAGATCCAGATCCAGATCCCGATCCCGACTCGTCAAAGAGGCTACCAAACATTTCATTACCGACGCACCGCGCAACCGACAATTCAATCTCCTTTCATTTCCTTGTTGTTTTTTTTCTTCTTTTTTCTTTTTCTATTTTTTTTTCCTTTTTTTTTTTTTTCTCGATTTATGCGTGTCATCCTCGCAATGAGACCATGCTAACAATCTTCTTTTCTCTCTGTCGCTCCAATTTGAACGGATGCGATGTACCGGAAGACACCTCTTCTTTTCCTTTCATTTCCATTCCTTCTCCCCCCTATCATCTTTTGCCCGACTTCTTTTTCTTCTTTTTTTTTTTCATTGTTTTTCCTCACCAGTTCCTTTCCGCTCACTTGGCTTACCTCCAGTCGTCCTTTTCTTTTTTTTTCTTTTTTTCCTCAAAATTAAAATTTCATTAAACATCATCAAATCTGAGGCCGGGGTCCTCAACATAACTCCCGGGCAAAATGTACTCTTAGCTTACAGCCTCTCGCCTGCAGGACTTTCACTACAGACCTCGCAGCTCTGCGGCTGCCACGTACCGTCTTCCCCCGAATAGAACGTACGGTCATCACAGCCGTACTTGGCTCACCTTTTAGTCCAGATGCAGCAGAATGACCGCACGTTCCTCGGGGGAAGAAGGTAGTCTAATCCGTCCTTTTCCACTTCCTTTTTTTTTTTTTTTTCACTTCCTTTGTCTCGCCTTCGGTTTCCACCTAGGAAGTACGCACACTATCGTCTTCCCCCGAACACAAGGCACCCTTATTTTGGCTGTATCTGGCCGGAAATATAGCTTGTATACATTCATTTTTAGAGTGCGTTATGTTCGGAGGAAGACGGTAGCCCTATCTTAAATGTATCTGTCGCCTGGATGAATCTGACCGCAACTGCGTCCACAAACAAGAAACAAAGTCCTAGTGTGAGTACGCCCTCCTTTCGTTTCCCTCCAGTCTGTTTGTTTTTTTTTTTTTTTTTGAACTAAGGTATATATTTTTCTCTCAAATCTTTCATCATCTTTCAAATTCCTTCAGTTCACCTTCCCTACCTACCTACCACTGCTGCTGAGGCTTATACAGGGGACCCCTGCAAACATAGCTTTGTTGTCTCCCTCCAGCCATT